GTTGCTTACTGGGCCTGGGCCCCTCTTCGTAGCCACAGTGGCCCTTTGGATTCCCTCCTCTGCCGTGGGGGCCGTCACGGGGGGCTTCAGGCTGCAGGTGCCTACTGTTGTTGCCCACCTAGATGCGCTCTCTCCTTGGGGTCTGCAACGGTGTTATGGGCTTTTCCAGCGGCCAGGGGTGGGATCACTTATATTTGTCGCTCCGTTGCTGTTGGCACCCACCAAATCTCACTTGTCCTCTATGGGTCGCAGGAGAGCTATTGGCATCTTCTACAGTCTGTGGTTAGTACACCTAGCTATGCTGCTTTTGCCCTGGGGTCTTCCAGCCTTGTGGCTGGCGGCTGGGTGCCTTCTACTGGTGCTGTGAAGAGGCTTTCCCTAAGGCTTCTGTGAGCCTGTAGGGTTTCCCCCTAGGCTACTAAGCTGGGTCTCTGGAACTCTCTCCAGCCCCAGTCCTCTCCGAGATCTCCGGCAATCCCTAGCCTCACCGGGTGGGCAACGGCAGCTGGGGGTCGCCCCGCCCTCTGGGATTCTCTCCGGGCCTCTCCCGGAGCCGTGAATGCTCAGCGTGGCCCCTCTGCTAACGGCACACAGAGAGTTTTGTCTGCTGCCCGGGCGGAGCTCCAGCGCTTCCCCTCCGGGTCGCCGAACTGGCCTTTGAAAGTTCCCCCAGCCCCGGTCCTCTCCGAGATCTCCGGCAATCCCTAGTCCCACGGGGCGGGCAACGGCAGCTGGGGGTCGCCCTGCCCTCTGGGCTTCTCTCCGGGCCTCTCCCGGGAGCCCTGAATGCTGGGCGTGGCCCCTCTGCTAATGGCAGACAGAGAGTTTTGTCTGCTGCCTGGCGGAGCTCCGGCGCTTCCCCTCCGGGTCGCCGAACCGGCCTTTGAAAGTTCCCCCGCCCCGGTCCTCTCTGATCCTCTCCGAGATCTCTGGCAATCCCTAGCCCCACGGGGCGGGCAACGGCAGCTGGGGGTCGCCCCGCCCTCTGGGATTCTCTCCGGGCCTCTCCCGGAGCCCTGAATGCTCAGCGTGGCCCCTCTGCTACCGGCAGACAGAGAGTTTTGTCTGCTGCCTGGCGGAGCTCCGGCGCTTCCCCTCCGGGTCGCCGGACCGGCCTTTGAAAGTTCCCCCGCCCCGGTCCTCTCCAAGATCTCCGGCAATCCCTAGTCCCACGGGGCGGGCAACGGCAGCTGGGAGACCTCCGTGCCCTCCGTGTCTCTCTCTGGGACCCTCCGGGCACCCCGAGCACCAGGCTGGGTCTCCCCGCCAATGGCAGGGAGAGACTCTCCCCGCGGGCTCAGGTGTGCAACTCCAAAGTTTCCCTCTGCGTTTAGGAGTAATTGCGGGGGGTTTAAGTAGGGTTCTGGTCACCTGTTTCCACCGTCGCTCCTCTGTTGTGTTCTCGCTCCTGCCCTAGATGTGTGTGGATCCTCTGGGGGCATCCGTTGGAAGAAAGCCGCTTGCGGGTACTAGGCTGCCCGTCGGGGTCGGAGAGTTTTCACCTATTTCCACATCCTCCCGGAGGAAAGTCCGTCCGCCTTCCGATGTATAGTCGCGTGGGTGTCTCAGACGTCCTGAGATGCTGTCTGGATATCCTTTGTCAAGCGATAAGTGTCCAAATAATTGTAGACTCGAAGGGCGAGAGACAAAGAGGACTACTCACGGCGCCATCTTGGATCTTCCCTCTCATTCCGTTATTTTTGAGGTCAACCTAACAGAGTGCATTCTTTTCAAAATAGAAAAATATCCCTACTACCTTGCTTACACATATGTAGCATTAATAATCACCTTGGAACTAATATTAGGGAGGTTAATCACAGCCTCCCATTCTGAGCTTCTCAGAGACTATTACAGCCTGAGTCCCGGACTGACGGGAGACGGGGTTGACCCAGCATGGCGACTCTTTGGACTCTGAGCAATGAAATCGTTCGCATTAATGTTGTTATGCACACCTGTTAAACATCCCACCCAGCTGTGAAGACAGTTTCGAGAAATCGAGAATATACAATAAAAAAATTGATTTCAATAGAACATTTGGTCACTGAGTCGGCCACCACAAAAAAATCTTATGTTGCTCATTATTGATAGTTTTACAGTCAGACTTTTAATCATTGGAAGAGTGACAATTTAAGTAGAAAATGTGTTGGGAGTTCTCAAAATAGCAAGGATGCAAGAGGAGAATTCATTATTGTGTATAGCAATTTCACTTTTTTCTTTAATTAAAAAATAAATTTAGCAGCCAAATGTAGTACCTTGTATATTACTTCAACGTTCTGAAGTTGAATCAGCCCTTGCTGATCCTAGTGACTATCTGTGAAATGAGGGTCAAGCCTGGAGCTCAAAAACAACCACAGATGATGTGAAATTTTGGCATGTAACAGTAGTTTGTGGTAGATTTTTTTCCTTCACTCATATAATTTGAAGATTATAGAATGTTGTTTTTAAAGGTCAGAATGAATTGCTAATTAAGTTGAGTCTTTTGAAATTAGCAAATAAAACTGCTACTCAGAATACTGACTAAGGAGTAATTAATCATAAGAGAAAAAATGGCAGCAAAGTAGAGCCAGCGGTAAAATTATTTTTTAACTAGTTGCCATAGAGCCTTCAAATGACATTACTAAGAAACTGTTAGATATTAATTCCTGTCCTTTCTCTTTAGGCTATATTCTTTAAAAAAAAAAAAAAAACAACAACAAAAACAGTGTTCAACATTTTTCTAGGAAGACATAAACAAAGGTGGGTGTCCATCTGCACAACCTCTCTTGCAGGTGTTCAGAAATATATGGACTGGCTACGCCTATCCCCTCTATCTTTGCCAACATGTGAAGGAGTTAAGGGTTATATCATAGGCACAGCCTTAAACCCACTCTAATTAATTTTTAAATATAAATTATTGACAATTTTTGGCATTTTAATTATTACAGTACAAAACTACTTAACACATGCTTTAAAGCCAGTGTTGACCCCACCCCCGGCGCCCCACGCCCCGCCCTCCAGCTTTGAGAATATCTGCTTTACCATCTGCTTAAGAAAACATGTGCTTTTGCTTCTAGCTGCTTTTTGTTTCTCAGGTACCACCTTTGTCAGACTTGAGTTTGATGCTCTCAATCTATGCTGGGCCTCTCAGGATTTTCATTTCACATCGAGAGATTAAATTTAAAGCCAAATTTATCAACAAGAATATTACAATGAAATATCCAGATGGTTAATTTGGCATGCATATCTTAAACTAGACACAAACTAAGGCAGCATTTATAGAGAGATTTATATTTTTAAGCACTTGACATTTATTAAGTAGCTAATCCACACCACACACCTATGAGGTAGTTTAGCATGACTTGAGTATAAATAAATTAGGTAAGAAGCAGAAAAAGAATAAAACCTGTTCCCACAACAATATATTGATTAGATTCTTCTCATTCTGGTCACAAAAGAGTAACAATCAATTCTTTGTACAAGGTGGTCAAATGAACAATGAACATTTAGCTGGGATGGAATGTAGAGAGGGTAGTTATTTTATTACTCGACAGTTTAGAAAGGTTATTGTTTTGGCATTCTAATATGCTGTGCTCAGAAAGACCTCAAAGATCCATGATGGAAGAGGTGTAACCCTCCCCCGCCCAGGGCTCAAATTTCCCTGGGGGAGTATTAGCATCTTCCATCCATCTCGTTGGTCTGATTGGTCCAATAACCTCACCTCGGTAGAAAGGTATAAAGGCTCTTGCAATTTTAATTTATGTTTCTGTGTCATCTAAAAGGCAAATGAAAAACAAATCCTATTGGTCTTTGTAGTTAAGCAGTGCAGATGAGTTTTATTACTACTTTTATCAGCAAAAGGGCTCACTGTAGTCCTCTCTACTTAGCAGATTGCTTTATGATCATATTTATTAGTGCCCTGGGCTGGGGGGACTATGATAATGAAAGCTCATTAATTTGGGTTTTATGACCATGGCATTTGTGGCCACTGGCACTGGTGCTGGCCTGAAGCTTACCTCTGTACTTAAAGGAGAAAAGCTCTTTGCAAAGGAAGTGAATTGGGTAACTGGGACTGTAGGAGTATTTTAATTCTATGAGAAGACATAGACTATTTCAACCATTTTGCAAATATCCTTTTAAATATAGAAATTGAGAGTAAAATATAAGGATGCTATCAGGCTTCTGTGTTATGTTCATTTTGAATTATTTTTCCCTCATTGGGTAAAACTTCAAATGGGCAGTAATTGGTTAATGTAGTGGACATTACTACAAGTACTCTGGAATAGTGAAAGTGCTTCAGATATTGATATTTGGATAGTCTCACTCTTTCAAATAGATGGGGTTCTCCCCTAGTTCCTCTGAATTGAGATTTTACAGGAAATTTCTGGACTCGTTCTTGTCTCTCCTGGAATCTCCGCTGCAACCAGGTGGTCCGACCAGAGCAGTTCCACGAGCCCAGGTCCGTGTGGGTCTCTTCCTCGCCGCAGGAATTAATTTGGTTATTTGAAAATATTTACCTTATATCTCACTCCCATTCGTTCATAACAAAATTAGAATGTAAGACATGACCGAATTAAACAAACATAACCATACCAAAAAAAAAAAGCACAGAAACAACAGCAAATAACCAGCTTCCCAAGTAGGGATGTTTCCACTTAAGACTTCCCCACACATCGGCAACATTCACAGGCTCTTCTTGTTTATAGCTGAATATGTCACCTCCACAGAACACTGGGATGATAATTATCTGCATGGGCAAAAATAAAGAATTTGGAAACAGACACAGAAAACCTCTGGGAGGGTGTTCACTTTCACTTGACAGGTTGCCAAGGAGTAATGGTATTTAGATGAAGAATTCTGAAATGATCTGATTATTATATCTGGAAGCTTCTCTATGAAGGCTTGGCATAGCCTCTCTGTAAAGTGAGATCTATGCTCATAGGCTCGTCTATATCAGGTTATTAAAAAAACCAAAAACACTTGAGAGTATGAGCTCACTCACTAAACACAAACAGAAACAAAGATTTTCTTTTCTTTTTTTTACTTGGACAGTGCTTATTTTACAGCAGAATTGACAAATAAAGCCTTATTTTACACATTCGAAGAAAAGTCATCACTGGAGGTTTGCAGCTCCATTGTGTGCTTTCCAAAACAGCAAAATAGATTCCTTCCCATCAAACCCTTCTTCCTTCCCACGGGACAGCAGGTGGTTGGTGTGGCTGCTTCTCTCTGCAGGCACAGACACGGGCAACCATGGTCCCTCCTGAGTGGGCCCTTGTCAAGGGAATGGTGCCAAATTTCAAACACCTTAATAACACCACCATGAATTGCGAAGTCATTTCACTTGTTGCTCACTGAGTTGCAACCACCTTAGCTCTCTGTGGAAAAACAATAGACGTTCAGAAAATCCTGACACCAGGAGATCGATTGCCTGTGGTCCCAACGTACAAAGGGCCACCCCAGTCAGAGCACTGAGAAGCATCATGAATAGAAGCCAACTATCTGTCTCTGCAGCCCACCTGCAGGACAGCAACTCCAGCCAGGATGGAGAAGAATTACACCCAGAGAAAGAGCTGTATGAGTTACGCTCAGAGACCTTCCCCATCAGAGAGCAACAGTTTTCCAGTCTGCCATACTGGCCAGGGGCATTCTTTCCAAAGTGATGGAATCTTGGCTCAGCGAGAAACAGAGGACCAGGGAACCTCACCACACCCAAGGCTGTCATTTCTTCAGAACTTACTCACTTCTTTTCATTTATCAGTACCCCACGTTAAAGCTCACAACTCAGCCCAACTTCATAAGAAATATTCATTTCTTTCCCTCTCATTCTGGGGTTTATAACTCTTCTTTTGGATGCCTTTGGGAAAACATTTCATCAAGGTCAACAGCTGCTAAGACATTTTTGCCTAAGAGGATCATCATGCAGGCAAACTAATTCTTTTCCTAAGTGATTATTTTGGCAGCTTGTGAAGAGGACTTGGCTTAACCTTGAGAAACTGTTCTTTGAATGATCAGAAAAAAAAGATGAGGGTTCTTCCTTTATTCACGCTCTTCATGCTCCTTGTTCAGATGGCAAATCTGGCTCACATTTTTGAAGGTGAAATGAGAAGGACCAGTGTTTGTGTTCATTACGTATCTTCTACTAATAGTGATTTGTTCTGGTTCTGTGCATGTTGCCACCAATCAGGTTCAATATGATGAAAAAATAATGTTTTTTTCTTGATAGAAGTGGTTTACATCTCAATCATCAAGGATTTAATAGAATAATTATATGTTGAAGAAATCTAGAATAAATTGGAAATTTAGATTTTCCCACTGTCTTTAAGTTTGAATAATGCTCCCACTATTTGCTATAGGATTATAATTTAGAACATGTGCTAATGTATTATCAGGAAAGAAATTAAAAAATCCATCCAAATATCATAACTTACCACAAAATTAAAAAAAAGAAAGAAAGAAAGCTCATTCACTCTCCAAAACTAAAGTTAGTCATATGTTAATCTGTGAATCGTCATAAGAAATGTTCATTGTTCACGAAAGAATCCTCCTCTGGTGGTTGACAAGCAATTCTCCTCAGCAGAGAAATCCCGACAATTTTTCTCATTTCTTGATTGATGTTTTCACTACTTATTCTTCAGGCTATAAGAGAGAAGGGAACAGTCTTACCTTCTTCATAGTTATACATTCCAATCTCTCTCTCTCTCACTCACTCAATCTCTCCCCACCTCCCACATCGCGTTAGCCATCAAATTAAAATAAAGCTGAATTTATATGATGAATCTTTTAAGTTCTAAATAACCTGTGTATATAATAACTCAATTACCAATGTCATCTCCGTGTATGTAGAAGGAGATATATGTCTCTATCCTGTCAATCCAGACACTAAATTCACTCTGAAAGTTCTTAAAATGAAAGTAACAAGTTGATTTTTATTTATGGCGTACTGCGTAGACCCATCTTTAGGTTTCAGGTATAACTACATTTGAACATTCTTGTTAGGAGAGGAAAACAAAATTATAGCATTTAGATTTCAAATTATTACAAACCTCAATCTCAATTCACTCCGAATTTTTTTCTGTTGGATAAGTAGGAAAAATTGCTTCTGGTTTTGCTCTCAAAAAGTATAGATTTAAATCAAATACATAACTAATTTTTATAGAGTTTTTAGTTTTGTTTTTGCTTCCTGGTAAGAAGATACTACCATTTGTGGCATGCCTATCAGGTGCAAGAATTTCACATTTATTTTACATTATAATTTAATCTCGACAACCACCTTTAAAGTGGATGTCATTTCTCCCTATTCTAAAGGTGGGAATACTGAGGCTTAAATTGGCTAAGGTAATGGCACAACATCATAGAGCTGATGTTAATGGGTGCAGTTGAACCTGAAAAAGCTCAAAATCAGCAGGCAAAGAGCTTGTTGACACTACGTGCAGGGGATTTCTCTCACGCTATTGAAGATGTCCTCTGGCTGCAATGAGGCTGCCAAAACAGTATCTTCCAGTAGTCAACTATTAACCCTAAAGCTATCTTTTGTGCGGAGGGTGGCAAAAGTGGTGGAGCAGGTAAGAATCCTTGCGTAGATTTTCATCTCCCTCATCACTAAGATCTAAATATTTCAATGGAAGTCCAGTAAACGAAAATTCACAACCTACACAGAAAAATTCTATTACTTGCCTAGAAACACAGCGTATCTTGAAATTTTATTTTCCACAAAAAGTGCTGTCATGGAATATTCTTAGGATATAGATAAGAATGTGAATGTTGACAATATAATGCAGCCCAAAAGAAAATGGAGACTACAGGCATTGTTTTGTAAATAGCTTTGAAATTTTTCCTTGGAGTGACCCTGGTAACCACAGCCACTTTTTAATAGTTGTTATAAAAAGAAAAATCCTGTTTTAGAATCTCATATTCCATTTCTTCTAGCGCTCGGTCATGACCTAAGGAAATTCTACAGTCGTTGTCATCTTCATGAATTAATGTGACATAAATGTTGGAAGTTCTCACTGAGCAAACAAGGGTAATCTCATTTTTATAAACTGCAAAGATGAACACTTTTCAAATTAAAATGAGTTTGAAGTGCAGTATCCCCATGTAATAGGAAGAAGACCAAACATATGCAGCTGAGCAGTCTTCTGTCATGATTAAATCGTTAGAGGAAACTAGAAGAAAGTTGTTTAGTTTTTAAACTTATAGTAAAAGTGGTATATTAAGAAATTAATCCCATAATAAGGAAAAAATATCACATTATTCCTTTTTATAGTCAGTATAATTATTCAAATCCTTTCTGAACACATAGAAGTAATGACAAATTAAAATGCCTTTCAATTCCATACAGCTTTTACAATTATTCATCTGTTACTGTTATTATGGCTGGAGAGGCTCCGTCATATTTTAGTTAGCATCCCATCTGATACAAAAGAACATGGAAAATTTTACTGCTATTAATAAATATGGGGCCATTCAATCCAAGAAGAAAATTCTTTTTCATCTGAGAGATAAGTTGCATAATTCATGTATTTGCAGGAATTTCTTTAAATAGAAAATTGAAGAAAGGCATGGGGGAAAAAAGAATTCATTACATAGTTTCCATTTGTGGTGAGGGACAGTCTTTGTTCTCAGAGAGTCTTAAATTTGATTCGACTTGAAGAGACAATTTCGATTGCGCTGTATACATACCAATCATACTCATAGAGTTCATTTTATTTTCGACATACATCATCATAAAAATGACGACAACACAGTTTCTGTTTTGCTTTCTAAAGAAGAAAACACTGGAACTGAAGGCTACTAGGCACTTTACTTGGGGTCTTGGAATGCAGTTAGAAAAACTGTGGAAGGGGTACCTCTGCCTTCCAAAAGGAGAAGTTTCCGTTTCAAGGTATCGTGAGGCTACGCTGAATTTCTGTGAGCTCCAGCCCCTGTCGGAGCTCCTGTCATACAGAGGGACATGACATGACGGCCTTGCAGCACCATCCTGCATGCCAAGATCCCAAACCGGATGCAAATCACTTCTCCAGGACTAGTTAAGCAAAAAAGCTTCCCTTTCCACTAGTCGCCCCTGTCACTGTTCTGACCTGAATCCAGAAGAGGGAGATGCTTGGAATCTGGGTACGAGATAGAAAGATTAGGTAGACGAGTAGTAGTCTCATGGTAAAGACTTCTTAACACCTGGCGAGGAGTCTTAAGTACTGAAATTAAACTGGTCTCATCAGTGAAAAGGACCAGTAGTGTGTATGGCCTTCCTGAGATGATCATCAAGGTGAGGGAGAGGCGCGGAGAAAGCATTCTGACCAAGTGTGTTTGAAGGTGGTGACGAGAGAAAAATTTAGTGATTGATTTGTCCCATGCTGAATTTAAACACTTCAATTAACCAATTAAAACACAAAGCAGAATCTCGTCAGCCTTTATCAAGTCCAGTTTCTGACAGCCAGGGAGAAAGTTTACAGTGACATGAAAAACGCAATTGTGAACCATGACATACGTGAAATGATACGGCCAGAATGTGTTAGATGAGGAGTTATGTCCCAGACCTTTTCCACAAACATGTTGCTAAACAGTCACGACTTTGAACTTGCTCTAAACTTACTGCCTGAGATGTGCCATGGAAATCATCCAAGGACTTGTCACCTTTGCCCAATTTATTAAGATAGTACAGTGATAAACCAAATTAAATTATATTTCTAAAATTGAACATCTCCCAGTTTCTATTCTTCCTTTTCATGCATTCCCTAACTTGGCAAATGAGAATTCAAGGCAGATATGCAGTGCTCTCCCAAGCTTGTTCCTGTTCTGCCTCGCCCCATCACCCAATCAACCACAAATCTTACTAGCTTCCTATTTCATTCCTAATATGTCCGTTCCTCTGCATCGCCTGCCCATGCCCTATTCCAGGCCCTTGCCATGGCACCGGCCTTCTATCTGGATCTTTGCAACCAGCTCTGCGGCTTCATCACCCTGGCGTGTGTTGAGGTGCTTCACTGGGTTCCCATCACTTACAAGAGAAAATACAACACACACAGGTCATTTGTGATGCGACCGCTGCCTTCTCCTCCAGCTCTATCTTTGTGTCAGTCACTCCCCCAATCACTCTAAGCTCCGATCACAGAGAATTGCTGGAGCTTTCTGGACTCACCATGCTCTCACGTGCTTCTACGGTTCGCACAGTCTCTTCCTTCTGCTGGGGAGCTCCTCCCCCAGCCCTTTACTTTTCCAGCTTCTCTCACTCTCTTCACAGAAGCATGCTTCCTTAAGACATCCCTTCCTGAATTTATCTTGACCCAACAAAATGTATTTGGAGTATTTTGAGCAGCCACTTGGGGGTAAAGAACAAAACCTCCAGAAAATACCCAAGCTACAGGAAGTGATCAGTGAGCTGCTATGCTTAAAACAAAGAGTGAAATGTGCTTTGCTTCTGATGAGGGTGAATGGCAGGGGAATGAGGGGGTTGGGGAAGAAAGGGGAGAAGAGAGGAGAATGTGGGAGGAGGGGATGAGGCAAAGAGAGACTGGAACAGGAAGATGGCTTTGTTCTGTGCTATCTCTGTACGACTCCCAAATCTTCTAGAGTTATCTAAACAAATAAAATACTCACAAAGAGTTCATTATTAGTGAAGTCTATGTAGTCTGATTATAGGAGGGAAGAGAAGCACTCAAAGTGATGGGAGAGAAAGATGCAGAAAGACCACAAGACATGGGAGTTAAAAGTGCAGGCAGGGCTTTGGGTCCTAACAGATTGTTGTCTCCTTTGTTGGGTAGTCCTACGCCAGTCCAAGACGGCTGAAAGCGGGCTGGGGTTCAGCTGACACCTCGGGCATCTGGGCAACACAAGACGAATTTCTCCAAGTCCTTCTTGGAAAAACAAATCCCGTATATTTATAACCCACTGAATAAAGAAATAATTTAAGAAAATTCAGGCTAATTAAGAGAAAAGTTAGATATTGTGAACATTCAAGAAATTGTGAATATTGAAAGGCACAGAATACTCAAAATGAATGCAGCCCTGTCACTTCCTAATACACGTTGACTACCGAAATTGACAAGAATGATTTGTAATTAACTTACCAGAACACCTAAGAAAATAAGCCTCCTCTACTCATATAGAATTTGCATTGTTGATATGCAAATGAATGCTCCTGATGTGCTTAAAAACAATTTATTCCCCTTAGAAGGCAAATATTCTCTTTATAATCTTGTTTACACTATTCGTTTGCTTTGCAGAACATTTTTCATAAAGTCAGAAAATAATGAAATATCAGAAGCAGAAGGAACCCCAGGGATCATGCAGGGAAGTCCAATGTCCTCATTTGACAGACGAGAAACTCGATGGAGCCCCTGGCACACCCATATACCCTCCGCATTCCCAAGGCCTGCACCAGCCCACCCAGCCCCTTATTCGTGGGACTCCACCCCTCCTACACTGGGGTTCTAGCAACAGCTGAGGCAGACGCAAACAGAGCAAGCAGCCTGCAAAGTGCTGGGCTGTGGGACATCATCAGGACCCACTGACCCCCCCGGACTGAAGTGAAAAAGTCCAGCACCCCTTTTCCAATCACTCATAGAACTGGAGGCCCGGCTGCTCCCTGTTTGTTTCTGAGCCTCAGCTTCTACTGTTTTTGTTTTTTTTTTTTCCTGCAG